AGAGAGAGAGAGAGAGAGAGAGAGAGAGAGAGAGAGAGAGAGAGAGAGAGAGAGAGAGAGAGGCATTATGAGATAAGAGAGACCGAGAGGGAGGGAGGAAGATGAGAGAAGAAAGAGAGGGAGACGACGAGAGAAAGAGACCAAGAGAGAAGGGGGAGGCCGAAGATGAGAGGGAAAGAGAGACAAACAGAGAGGGGGGGGAGGAAGAGAAACGTAGAACGAACGTGACAAAGGGAAGGGGAGATGGGAAGACGGCAAGAGCGAGAAGAGCTTAGGTGACAGAGAGATTCTGGTAATAAGAGACGCAAAACGGCGGATGCAGGAACAACGGAGAAGGTCCGGAGGACAGACAGGGCTTAGATTGACGGGAGTTGGTAGAACGGAGGGAGTCTTCACCACCTCCCCCCTACGGATAGATTACAATTCCCCCCCCCCGATTGATTGAGTTTCCTTCTTACCAGCGGCATCGTAAGATTGTCCTTCGCTGCTTATCCCCCTGCCTTCCGCCGCGTGGCGCGCTCCAGCACTCTCGCTCCTCTCCGCATCCGCTCTTGACAAGGTCGCGTTGGCGCTGCAAATGTGAAAACCTTGGCTTGGCGGGAAAAATGAACGGGAGGAGGGAAGGAGGGAAGGAGGGAGGCGTGTTAGACAGTGCAGCTTGTTCGATATCCTCAGTAAAGAAGGGCCTCCACTGATCTGCTGGTCCATCGCCCTGCAGCGGTGGGTTACCAGTATTTTCAAACGCCTGCGACCGATAGCCCACTCATCTTTCCCCAGACTTTCGAGGCGAAACACCGTCCGGTTTATGGCCGGTGGCCTACCGGTCCCCCGCAAATACCCTCGAGCCCAGCCTCGTGCCCCAAATACCGCCGGATGGGTTCCGATTGCGCCGAAATTCGATCGAGAGCTGCTGAAGGAGACCGTGCGGTTTTGTTGCCGGCCACTTCGGCCTGCAACGAGTTTCAAAAGAAGTTCACCCGCCTCTTTGTGGACGCGTCGCCGCTGTAGGACGACCAATGAATTCACCGCGCCATCTGGAAGATTTCGAAAAGAGAATTTCGAAAAGAAACTTGTGCCCCTTGTCAGCGTTATTGGCAAGCGAAACGATGGAAGCGACGAGCAGGAGCGCGCCGATCGACGTCCGACTGGGCCCGGTAGTTCTTCGTTCGACTGCCTCGGGATTCCCGAGGTGGGCCAGGTGGGTAACGCCCATAGCAGGATCTTTGTGGTTGCTCGACGGGCGGGTTGGCGTACCTGTGTGTAGTCCTTTGGGACATCCGTTGAAACTGGAACGATACACAGAAGATTAGCATGGCGCTTGCGCAAGGATGACACGCATAAATCCATATAAATACTGGTGTGTACTATTGCAGCCAGGGAGTAAAGGGGGAGGGGCCGGTTTTCGTGGAGGGAGGAAGGAAGTTAGGTGTTTCGGCTGAGGAGAGCCTCATGGATCAGGAAGGCCAGCAAGAGTACCAGGACCTGGTTTAGCCATGCAAGTGGAAGGACCAACTCGGTAAGTAATTGGGATCCTGGTCTTTGAATGGCTAGTTATCAGGGTGGGCAATGGATTCACACCACCTGTTTGAAGACCGAAACGAGACAAACCAACAATGAGCAGCAAGGAGAGGCACAAACGACGGGCACCAACTGTTGGGATGGCTAGTTAGCAGGTGGGTCACGATAGAACGGTGCTTCGCACGCCCCGTGATTGGGTTTTCATGATTGTGTGAGACGCCAAAGAATTCGATCACACGTCTCGACATCGTTGAGAGAGAGTCGCATACCAAACACTTGGGTCATCATCGTCTTGTTGGAGATCACTACAAATCGATAGATGGTAGTCATGTTTGAATCCCCTTTCAAACTATCATCGTGTTCGTCCTATAATTGTTTCTACCTCTCCTCGAGCCTCCCGATCCACAACTCTTGACCTCATATAGCCAACAACTCTTATCCATCTTTATCCTCTCCTCCATCACCCCCTTCTCTCACCCTTCATATTTAATTGGGGATATTCCATCAACTCATTTGCCACAATTTGATGTGCCCCTTTCCCACCTTACAATCTCTTTGCACGTTCTCGCCGGATAACTGAGCTAACAACAACCCTTTTCGGTAGTCTGTATCATTGGTGGATTAACACAACTATGATATATGATTGATTGTCTACCGTGTGGGAACAGGGAACGCAGCCCTAAGCTAGTCAAAGCAATAGGAATAAGCGCGCACGAGAGCGAGCGAGCGAGCGAGCAAGCGAGCGAGCGAGCAAGAGAGAGAGAGAGAGGGGAAAAAAAAAAAAAAAAAAAAGAGGGAGAGAGTTTTGTTCCATGTCTTTACATGAGAGAGAAAGAGAGACGTTGAATGGCCAATTTGGAATATGGGTCAAATTGTGACCGCAATCTATTTCACAATTCAAATTATATTTTTTAATTTATTGAATTTTTTTTTTTTAATATCACAATAAAAAATCTAAGAGTACTTCAATTTTCAGGGTTTTCCACGCATTTTTCTGAGAGGGGGGAATTATTGAATTTGAAGTGTTTTTTTTCACTTGACCCACAACATGGCTGAGTGGCAAAAATAAATAACGCATCGAATCAATGTGACGATTATTTTATTGTCTTAATGAGTTTTTTATTTTTTTTATATATTTTTGTAGAGAAAGCACGACCTAATTGATGGATTCTCAAATTTTTATATTTTTTTGCTCATCAAAGTTGCCTCTTCCAAAACGTTTGTTTCGTTGCGCTTTCCCACGACTTCCCAGCGTTGACCTCCTTGTTTTGAGAAAACGGACCTCAATGCCTAGGCCTGAGGGCCTTTTTGTTGTTCACTTGCAAAGGAGGACCGATTCTTCAATTTTGCTACTACATCGGTTTTACTGGCGATAGTTGTACGTAGTTCATGAAAACACGGTAGACCAGTCCCCCAACAACTTTCACCCCGTTAGAATTCACTTGTGCGCTGGTCCTACCATAGCGCAACCTTAGGAGTGCGAAATAATGCACTCCCTGTAACGCATACTGTAGTAAATGTTAGAGAGATTGTCCATGTATAATGGTCATTACAATCAAAGTGTTTCCCAACCTAACAGTACTACAACATTGAGTATACCAATCATATTCCTAGTGTAGTAATGAATGAGCACGTAAGATGAATTTTCTTATCTACATACAAGGATTTCGCAATTGAATCCTCCAATATGATACTTGCAAATTTCTTATAAACTTGCGGATTTCTTTAATACCACTGTCCTCCAAAGTCAACCCCTATGCGTCATCTAACTCAATAAGTTGTTCCCTTCAATGATATGTGGGCATAACCTTAGCACAAACAAGGTAAATTGTCTTAACCCCAACATTAGCAATAGACAAGTGTCACCAAGGATACATAAAGTTTTTAAACCTTTACGATTCCCCTAATAGTGCGGGTCAAATTTCCTCAAACAATTTTTATTCCTAAATGTTAACTGACTGGTTGTGAAGCCATATAATTTAAACACCACATGTGTAATCAAAACAAATTTATAGAAAATTATCCTCATAACTATACCTACTTTTTTTTTTTTTTTTAAGTGGGAGTCATAGCGATAAAAAATGTTATATATTAAAAATATATCATTAACATGATTTTTACGTTTATATCAATTTTAAAAAAACGAGTTGCTTCTGACAAGTTGAGGTCTATTAAGTATGATGTTAAAACAAGGTTCAACCATTACTTATTAAAATAACATAAATCTTATTAATTACATTTGTTAGCATATTTGACAATTTAAAACATCAATGTGGCACTTACAGACGAACATTTAGCTGCAACAATAATTGTCCTCCAACTCATCCTTACGCTCTCTCATAGATTCAAAGTCACCACGAAGTTATTTTGTTTGGGTGACTACAAAAATAAAAGATGTTTATATAGCATCAAATTTACCGCCAATCTAGACTACCAAAGTGGTCCGTGGCCACTTGTTCGACCGGACAAAAAATAAATAAAAAAATAAAAATTATTAAATTATTTTGTATTTAAATTTGTATTTTAAATTTGGTCAAAAATTTCGATGTGATCCTGAGGCAAAAATTATTCAATTTATTTTTCTGCATAACATTTTTGGATTTTTTAAATATATATACCCGCATTTTTCTATGCACATTGTTGACACGTATATTATGCACATTGTTGACCTGTATATTATGAGTCTGGTTTGTTTATTCAAAAAAAATTATGACAACATTGTTTGTAGTGATGTTTGTATTCTTCAGTTTATACCCGCACCTTTCTATGCACATTGTTGATCTCTATATTATAAGTCTGCTTTGTTTGTTCACGAAAATTTATGACAACATTGCTTGTAGTGATGCGGCAACCCCCCTCAAATTTCGGGTATTCCATTACCCATCTCCGAGAGTCCACAATCGATGCTCATCCCACGAGGCACCTAGTTGACAATCTTGCCTTCATTTAGCTTTACTTTCGGTATGCAAGCTACATGAATTTTGTATATTCATGATTTCAAGCCAAAGTGTTTTTGCTTACATTCCGTGTGACGAAGTCAATAGACGTTCCATGTGTGGAGCTTAATTTTTTTAATTCACTTAGGCCTTGGTCGCAGAAGGTTGGATTTGAAGGAGACAATGAGAGAGGGTAGTATGTAGGGGGGATGGGGGGTTGCAGGACAAAGCCCCATTAATGTTCCACTTCTAACGAAACCAGTTTACAATTTTTTTGCATCTTAATATTCAGTTCGTGCAGTGAGGCAACCGTCACGATGAGACCGTCTACTAAAGAGGTGGAGCTCAATAAAAGGATGAAAGGTGGGGCAAACCATGAAACAAGGATTAAAATGAGGATTTAATTCGACAGTTTAATCAATGTCATCTTTCCTTGCGTCATTTGTGCATCCAAGGGCATTGTGAAAAATTCATCCTTCGCAGATGGTGCTTAAAACAAAGATTTTAATTTGTGAGATATCAGGAATATGAAGACAACAAATATTATTCTCATACATGAATCAAACTTTTGATTGAATATCATTGAGGATGGGGGGACGAAAATATGTTTAGAGGGGAACCACAAACCTGTCTGGATAGACTATCAAACTAGTACGAAGGTGTTTTCTTCGATCACTAAACAGAGAAACAAAAGCAACCTCTTCTGCTACGTATCTGTTGATGAGGAGGTGGCTTGCGTCTTTTGTGTTTATGCCTGCATTCTCTCGTTATTTTCGTGCTGAGAGAGATCTGCTCATTGGACTGACATGTTATATGTGTTGATTTGCTTGAGACGGCGGAGGATTGATCGTCGTTGCGTGCTGCTGATGGGAGCACATTACAGCGGTGTTGTTTTAGATGTATCTTAGGAGACCTTCAAATATGAAGTGGGGATAGTTCAGCGTCAACTGTCCTTGGAGACAGAGAAGGCGTACATGACATTGGGCTGCAACAGGCCCTAGTGCCATACCAGGATGTGAACCACAAACTCCCAAATAAAATAACGACATTTTCTGATGTAGACTAGAGGATCGGTCAGCATCCGCTGGAGGTAA